AATTTCCTTAATTATAAAAGAATCTTCTTTGTCTTTTATTACTATTAATATTTCAATTATATCAAAATATATAATGTCAATAATGATAACACAGTATCAGCAGTAACAGCACAAGAAAACAAAATCAAGGAATGAAGAGATGTTTACATTGTGCCTACTAATTGACTCCTTAATACAGAGTATTTGGGGCACCATTTACATGAATAAAATTCACAAAATCCTACTGCATAAGTACAATATACAAAGGTTAACCTGTTACAATCTGGCAAGCTTCCTCAAGCCACACCCTCTGTGACATCCCCAATTCCCCACTTCCTTCCTCTCCCTAAGCCCATCACATTCAGTAATATTTCCTGTCTCTTTGTTGTTTTGAATGAAATGGATTGACATATTAATTCTGGTACTAAATTTATGCTCTTTCATTTTATAATCATGTTTTATATACTTATTTATTAATTTTTACTTTTATCAGGTATCTTTTGTATTTTATCTTAATTTAGCTCAATAGCGAGGATTATTATTAGCTTATAGGGTGGCAGATAAGTTTTCATGTGCTACCATACCTGCATAACATCACTAAAAAGAGGGATAGGGAGAAGGAGAGGGAGAGAGGGAGAGAGGGAGAGAGGGAGAGAGGAGAGAGGGGGAGAGAGGGAGAGAAGGAGGGGAGAGGGGAGAGGGGAGAGGGGAAGAGAGAGAGAGAGAGAGAGAAAAAAAGAGAGAGAAAAGAGAGAGAAAGAGAGAGAAAGAGAGAGAGAGAGAGAGAAAGAGAAAGAGAAAGAGAAAGAGAAAGAGAAAGAGAAAGAGAAAGAGAAAGAGAAAGAGAAGAGAAAGAGAAGAGAAGAGAAAGAGAAAGAGAAAGAGAAAGAGAAGAGAAAGAGAAAGAGAAAGAGAAGAGAAGAGAAAGAGAAAGAGAAAGAGAAAGAGAAAGGAGAAAGAGAAGGGAAAGGGAGGAAAGGGAAAGGGAAGGGAAAGGGAAAGGGAAAGGGAAGGGAAAGGAAAGGGAAAGGGAAAGGGAAGGAGAGAGGGAGAGAGAAGAGGAGAGAGAGGGGAGAGAGAGAGAGAGAGAGAGAGAGAGAGAGAGAAGAGAGAGAGAGAGAGAGAGAAAGAGAGGTGAGAAAAGAGTGAGAGAAA